CGGGGGGGGGGGAGGGAGAGCAGAGGAGGAAGGGTTAACATGGCCATGTATAGACATTCAGTTTCTCTTGGGCCAGTGGGACAGTCACTGCTCTCCCAGGAAAAACTTTAAGTGTACAGATATTCAGGATATTTTTTTGCCCAGAGCAATAATGGCCACTACAGGAGAAACCAAGGAACAACCGAGATTAAATTACTCCAAGCAGAGTTTTCTCCTGGGAAAGAAGCTAAAGTACACTCCTCCAGAATCCTAGGGAACTTTGTTCCTAGCTTGCTTCCTCCACCCTCTCCTAGGAGATACTGCATAGCTCAAGCTGGCCTCTGCTGCTCCAGCCAAACAGAAAACAGAACACACCTCCTTAAAATCTGGGTTATTTTAAATTTGTGCTGCAGGGAGACACAAACTGCCCTGTGCATTGTACTGCAGGGAGACACAGCAGTCTGTGCATCTGAGTCAGCCAATCAGGGGTGATCTATGCACTGCTGCCATCTGTCTCTGAGGCGGACTGAGGGAGCCTGAAGACCACACAGATGTGTGCCCAGGGGCTCCCTCACTGGACAGTGTCAACACTGCAAGCTTTCAGGGACTCAGTATTTGCATGTCTGTTCAGGCACAGCTGGGTAAGTTTTTTTACCAAGGAAAACAACCTGGGAGAATTATCCCAGATAATGTCAAAGCCAAAGATCAGAAGAAACCATTGGTGACCAAGTTTAGCTGATATTCTCTCACAATTATCAGCTTAATAAGTCTACCAAGAAAATAAACCTAGAGACAGGAAGTTAAATATAGACTACCTGAAACTGACTACTCCTTCTTTAAGACTGAATATCTTAATTTAATTTAGGTACTACTTAGTATATAGGAAGCATTTAAAAAATAAATCCATTGTCACCTCTTCTCAAGAGAACATGCGAGTACAGATTCACTCAAAAGCAGCTTGAGGTCACAGTACAAATGCAGAAAAGAACTCTTTAACTTATGTGAGAATTATGGTGAGCAACAACACAGTCAAAAAGCTGTTCTCTTTTGCTTACTTACACAGCTTAACTTACCGTAATCCATTCCTTTGATCGAAAGCAGGAATCATAGAACTGGGATGCTCTGACATCAGAGCAACAAGCAACTGCAGGACATCCATTAAATTGTCATCCTGTTAAAATAAACAAAAAACCCGAAAACAAAATGTTAATATAAAAGTAACAATATAAAAATGTTAGATTAGACTATTACTCAGAAATTTCAGTCCTTGTAAATAGTTCAGTGATAATCCAGTCCTAGGCCAAAGAAGTTCTTCAGGCAGCTGGTTGTAGCCTATCAAGCTGGAACAGTGAGTCAGATTAGGACCCAAAGAACTTGGGCAGAATCAAAGAAGCTATGAAGGTGAGAAACAAGAGTGTGACACCAAGAGGAAGTGCTAAGCAGCAAGAGTGTTACCAGTTAGTTACTTCAAACTTCTGTGCTCTACACAACTGGTTTAATTCTACAAACACATTCTTTTGGGCAGTGGGAAATCAGGGAATGGAGTAAGTGGCAATTCCTCCCATACACATGCTCATGTATAAACACATTTCTCTTTTATGGAGTACATTTTTCCAGGGATGCAGTCCAAGGATCCAGAAGCAATAGTTAAGGAGGGTAACTCAGACTAACTGTTCACCTAGCAAAGGTTTTTAGCAGCATTAGTTTGAATTATATCTATTTAACATCAATTTATGAAATTGCTTTAAGTAAACTGTTTACTATTCAAAAGTGACTTATAAAGACTTAACACAACTTATATTTCTTAACTTGCATTAAGTTACGTTTAAGTCTTTATATTAACGCAACCCTGGGGGATTGATGCTGCCTCAATTCCCCAGGGCCCAAGGGTTTCACACTGGACATGGTGCATTGCTGCGGGTAGGAACCCTGTCAGCCAATACCACTGCACATGCAAATTAAAGCTCAACAGCAACCAACTATAAAGTCAGTACATATTTTAGAGGTCTAGCTTTATAGCTGGTTGGAGCACCTTGTTGTGTGATAGCTTCTATGTACATGTAGCTGGTCTCTAGTTAATTGATTAACCAATTAATTTCACAATACCTGTAACATGTAGAGGGGGCCTTAGAAACACAGACATAATACAACCTGAAAGGATTCAGTCACCTGAAGGTGTTGTTATATTGAATCACAGATTCAATGACTACCCCAGTGAAGAAGGCAGGGCTATTTTCATTTAGAGTATTTTGAAAACTATCGCCTTTGTTTCTAAAAACACCTATGTACTGTAATCACCAAAATTCAGTGCTTCTGCCCATTTCAGCTGAGAGAGTAGTCCGCTGTGTTAGTCTGAAGTCAGTCAGAAGGCAGGGTAGATATTCACCGTTACAGATTAACTAAGATATATAGAGAGAGAGTACAAGCTTTCATGTTTCAGCTTTGAACATAGAAACCATTTGGTCTGGTCAAATAAAAGAGACAGGTTACTACCTTCTCTTTTGGAAGAAGGCTATGTAAGGCTTTTGTAGATCTAGGTTAATCTCAATTTGTTGCCAAGATTGTCACTTCCTATATCCCAGCAGAAGGGAAAAGGATTGGAAGACGTGCTTGTTGTGCAGCCAAGCACATGACCTAGAACCAATCCAGACTAAGGAATAAATATAGGTGTAATATTCAAAAGAAAAAGAAATCTGTAACGCTTAAAGTAGATTCAATTAATTCCTTATTTTCCTCATTTCAAGCACCCTTGAAAAGAGATTAGATCACTTAGATTTATGTCCCCATTTCCCTGGTCTTTGATGTTACATCTGGCATAAACTGCCTTTTCCTGGTACTAAAATATGAAGATGCAGATGTATCAATGGTAACCAACATTTTCTCCCAATTAAGTTTACAAGCTCCCCTTACACTTCATTAACATCTTTATTTTTAATTCACATTTTCAATGTATTGCTTTATTTAAGAAGCAAAATAAAAGGGAGGTAAGAAATAAAATTGAAAATATTATTTAGACAGAATAAAACATGCTTTTTTAAAAGTCAGTCTCACCATCTGTTTTTCTGCTTGGTAAATCAGTTCACAGAAACTATTTTGACTCAAGTAGCTTAATGAACTTCAATCTACTATTGAACATAGTGCTTAAATCACAACAAGATATTGGTAATTCAATATACTATACTGCAGCTTTGAACAGTATTTGTTATTTCTTCCTGTAGAGCCATCTTGTGGCAAGAGAAGATATTTTTATTAGATAATAAGTGAGGATATTTTGCTTCCCAATCATGAACAACAAGAACAAAAAAGCATTACCTCATGAATAGTGAGTAGATAATTAAGGATAGCCTGTAATTCATCTTCTTTCACTCCATGATCCTTAAAAATTAAAATTAAAATGTGTTTCTAGTATCTTTATATTAAAGTAAAACAATAAAGAAAGCAGTAAGCAAAACATGGTCATGTACAAAGTAAGAGACATACAAGGCAGATTACTTTTTAAATGCATCTAAAGTGCTACCACAATTTCTAAGGTAACATTTTCTGAACTAAAAACTCTGAAACAAATGCTTCAAAATTGCACAAACAAAAAAACAGAATGCAACACAAAAAATGAACAAAGAGGTGAAATACTATTGAACTATCACTGGTACAGTGAAGAGTTGGGAATTTCCCATCTACTCTCTCATAACAGAAAAGCAAAAGGAACACACTAGCAAATTAACAGACAAATTTAAAGGAAAAAACTTTTTCATACAATGCATAATTAACTTGCAGAACTCACTTCCCTAAGATGTTGAAAGAAAGCATTAGACACATAATAGGCAAAGCTAGTAGTGATCCCTATAATTAAATGCTGCCATTTTTGACTGCTTGTACCAGGGGTGCAAAAGATATGGCCCCTATCATCCAGCTAGCAGTGCTGCCTGTAGGTCTCAGACTGACCCTAGGCACCCCATACCACATGTGTCAACCACAATCACATGGGCTGCATGCAGTGTGCAGAGCTTGTCTAGTGCAGGCTGCACACAGCATGAAGGCTGGAGCTGGCACAAGTGTTACAAACTAGTTCCACATACCTCATGGGGCTGGGATTACTTGCTAGATGCAGCCCCAGGGGCCTGTGTGGGGTGCATGCTGCATGTGGCACCTCCAGCAGAACTGCCCTCCAAACACGGCATTCAGGACACGTCTAGATTGAGCCCATAGACAGGCCCTGCATGTGGGAACTAGCATACAAGTCCAGTTTAGAGTGGGTACCAGATGCAGTGTGTGTACTAGACTGGCCCTGCACGTCATGGCCAACACATGCCTCAGACTCACTGTGCATGGGCTGGGGCAGGCACATGCTGCAAGCAATGCATGGAGACAGCACACACACTGCAAGCAGAACACGGAGCCAATCCAGGGTGCATGCTGCATGTGGTAGCCACGCCAGACCAGCCCTCTGCCCTGGATCCACCACGTTGGACAAGTCTGTGGGCCAGACTGACCTCAAGTCTCTCATCTGGCACATGGGGCTAGATGAGTTTGACACTCTTGGTTTATACTTTTACCAAGATAAGTATTCAGGATTAAATATTAATGAAATTGAGTACTATCTTCAAACTGATTTCAGCAGAAAAATACTAAGTTTCAAAGGACTGAGATTAGGGAAAAGTAAATTATTTTGTCCATGCCAAAAAAGAAAATGTGTCACATTTGTTTTTATGGAAAAGCTGTTGCATATCCATGCTTTGGAGCAGAGTCTAAAAATTAACAGAGGAACTGTCTCTGAAAATTCAATCAAATTGACAGAAAGAAAAAAGGTTGCACATGCTCAGGGAAGACAATGTTAGACTGACACCTAAATTCCCAAATAATTCATCTGAAGTAATCATGAAACAATTGAGGAATACAGTGACTGTGCAGGACTTTGCTATTCCCATATGTTGGGGCCTCCATGACAATGACAGAATTATTGCTTAATTCTTAATGCTTCTCCTTTGATGCTTACATAGCTAAGTGGAGAAAAAGGAAATAGCCCTCAAATGTCCAGTGTGAAGAGTCTGCAAAGTCAGGAGAGGGCAGACAGATGCACACAAGCTTAGGAGGGCATGATGGTGACAGGAGAAGGGGCAGAGGGTTCTAAACCACTACACTATTTTCTCTTCCCAAACCTAAAACTAAACCCAAGATTCCTACACCTTAACCTTCCTCTGTTGTCTAGCAAGCAGTAGCAAAACCCACTAGCAAGGAGTTTCATCCTCCCCTAGAGGCTGGGTCCGCAAACAACCACCACCTAGTTCTGCTACTACTGTTCACTGCAATCCTGCTTCTGGTCTGCCTCATGTCATCGA